GAGGAGAGGAGCGACGTGATCGCGGTTGAGTTGGTGAAGCATGACTGCGCCTGCGAGGACGGGAAGCATGACGGCGATGAGGAAGATGGACTTGACGCGGTATCGGTGTGCGAGGTATGAGGCGGGGAAGATAACGAGGAGTTGTACGGCGCCGAAAGGAATGTTGAGAAGTGATGTAACGCCCTTATCGAAGCCAAAGCCACCAACGATGATAGGACCAAAGGTGTTGGTTACAGCGGCAGTGACATTGAGACACAAAGCCATGCTGATGAAGAGCCAAGTCTTTGGTTCAATGAGGGCCTCGAAAGCCTGCTTCCAGATAAAGTTGCGACTTCCAGTACCAGTCTGATTGGCACGCAGACGCTCGATGGTTTGAAGCTTCTCGTGCTCGGTCAAGAAGCGCGCAGACGGAATGTCGTTGTCAAGGACCAAGTATACAACTGGCGCTGTGATAACGGTGATGAGGCCAGCGAAGAGGAAGAGAATACGCCACGATGCAAGCGAGCCGTTGATCTGGCCCAGACCAAAGGAAAGCGCAGCAGCAAACATATTCGCTAGGCCATTCGTTCCATACCAACAAGCCACACGCATCGGCTGCTCAGCGCGTCTATACCACTGCGACGTAATGACCGAGAACAGAGGCAAGCACGCAGCCTCAAACAAACCCAGCAAGAAACGCGTCGCAAGAAGGCCCTGGTAGGTAGTACAAGCGGCCATGCACGTCTGCGCAGCACCCCAGCCGAACACAAGACTGGCCATAAAAATGCGATGAGGAATCTTGACCATCAGCCACGAGGAAAATGGCAGCCAGACCAGCTGTGCGATGGGCGCCATGGAGGAGACCATTGAGTATTCGTTTCCACTGAGGTTGGTGTCTTCGCGCATGCCCCATACTGCACCGTAGCCGAGGACGGATTTATCGAGGATCTGGAGGAAGTAGACCCAGACAAGGATGGAGAGGACGTGTTTGTCGGTCTTTCGGCGGAGGCGTTTATTCTAGATGAGAGTTAGACGGTTGAAGGGTGAGTTGAGGGAGAGAGGTAACGCACGTCTTCTTCGGTGACTTCAATGTGCTGAGCACCGATCATCTGAGCGACAGCGTCACCATTCTGAGGATGAAGATCTGGCTTCGCGATCTGGGACTCCACGTCTTCGGCGTGTTGTTGAGAGGGAGCATCGTCGCCCTTGAAAGTAGACATTATGCTGAACTCCGCTGATACAAATGAGGGAGTGATGAATGGATGGGGGAATGCAAATCTCAAAGTGAGAAGAAACAATGGCCTTCTTATCCTTTAGCTATTTCACGGGAAGACCGTTAGTGTCAATGACATAGAGTTTAGAGGCTTGTTCCCCCCCACGCGAGTAGAAGCGAGTCTGGGGAAGAGCGAGAATCTGGGGGATTTGTGGACAGCAGCGGGGTTTGTGACGAGCGGTGCAATTCCACATGGTCGATCGTTACTCCCCAAGGGCAGGCAATGGCGAGTCATGGTCGAAACCTTGATTGTTCGTGTGGTTTGTATTGCCGAGGCCAAGCTCAGCTTAGCGGAATGGTTGAGGTCAACGTCATTATTGGCACGTGGGGGTTGACGATGCGGAGAAGATATGGGGAATGTGGCCGGAAGTGTACCGCGGTGTGGTTGACTGTCAACCTGAGGGAATGTGACTGTGCATGGCAAGGAGAATTTCTGTGGGGGAAGATCTGGGCTGTTTGCATCTGATCTGTTTCGGCAATTGGACAGATCCCGAAATTGTTGAGAACTGCATCTTTCATTGCAGTGTTGGCGATAGGTTCCGACAGACAGAGGCAGTGTTGAATTCCCGCCCTGTCAAGCGCTGTGGCTTGAGCGGACTTAGTGCCCCTTCGCTGAAAACGCCCTGAAAACGCCCTAAAAGCCGTTCACAACACCGCTACGGAGTACAGCCAAGCTCCTGACGAAGTTCCTGGCAATTGACCTCACCCATCGGCAATTGACGTGGGGGTCTCGTTCAAAAGCCGCTCCTCGTCTTCAGCTGCTAAAGCCGTCTTCCCTTGTGATATTCTTCTCATACGATCTAGACCGCTGTGTTATCTCAGATCTCTCTTTGCTGTTCACTGCGACCATTCGGATCTGAGCCTGAGAGCTTTGACCCGCTTTTAGCCTGGTTGACTGTCGACCCGGCATGGTGCATGTCTCAGATTTCACATGTACAGTAAAGCCTCATGATTCCAGCTTTAACCATGGGAGATGCGCATAATTGCGGCTTATCAGAGGGGTTTCTCTTCAGTGCAGCGTTAGGTGGCCTTACCAGTGTCTACCCCCTGCAGAAGCTGATGGTTGCGAGATGGATTAAAAGCATGTGAAAGCTGTAACGGGTATGTTGCATTGGGGGCACGCATTGTCTGATTGAGAGATTTGATCGTTGATCTTGGAAGAAATCGAACCATCTGGAGCCTCTAGATACAGCTGAAGATGTTTGACGTGCGTGCGCGAGTTGTTGGGTGCGGTACACAGTCTACCCGAGGAACTGTCGCAATCCAAGACTGCCATAATGCACGAAAATTCTCTTTTTGCTCCATACACTCACACTACCCTCGTTGCTACTGTAAACTATTATCTGTTCCAAGAGAAAACCGATAGCAGCTGTATGTGAGCTTAACGATTGTGCAGGGTAGGGAAATGCGAAGTCAGAATTCTCGCTGTCACTTTCTTGGGTACGGGTAAGTACAGGTTGTTGAAGTTAAGCATGGCTTGTAAAGAGAATACAGTGCCAATGAAGACAACAATGTCATGGTGAGGGGTAAGCTTTATGGATACCGGTCGATTGAAACATAATAATCGTTTCCCTCATAAGTAATATTTGATCCTATGGTTTAAGCATTTAGCGATTGTCAACTCCAGCAGATGCGTTGAGACAATCCCAGTAGCCAGCCTTAGAGTAATATGTCACAGTTCAAACCTACATAATGAGGATTGAATATTTCTCTCAACTTTCTAGAGACCTGGTTTAGTATCAAAGCGTTGTACGCCTTTGACAGCATTGAGTGAGCTGCCCGCTGGAGCCAAGTACAGGTTAGGGATCAAAGAGATCAGCAAGAACAAGGAAATCATGATTGGATAGCCAGTCACCTTCGTTCTGCCCCATGCAGCTCCTCGTTCACATACCGCCTAGATCGCATGGCTTAGCAGGAATGTAGAATCTCAATCGGCTTACCCCCACGCTCTAACGCGAGCACCTCAGCGGCTCCGACTAAAATCTCAGCTAACCTCAAAATGACGACGGACCGACGGCATTGAACCGTACCTGCGCCCGTCTCAGTAAACCCCCACGTTTCTGATCAAGGCTCACTGTCTCCCCCGTGTTTATTGCCCGACATGCAAATCTGCCCAGAATGCCATGGAAAGAGGATTACCCCAGACTCTTCCCCGCAGATGATCATCGTTTAGACACGGATGGAAAGCCGACAGCAGAGTCGGCCCGACGTGGGGGTCACACGAGATGACAAGTTATTGACTTCATAGTTCTATGGGGTTAGACGCAACACTGGTTCGGCGTCTAAATCTGGGGTGTAGCTTGTGGACAGTCATTTGATCAGGAACAATCAATTGAAGTTCTAGGCTACTTACCACATCACAGACTTTACAAAGTGTATTGAATCACTTGCAATCATGATGAGCATCTTGGAATCTCTGTTTTCATTGAAGGGCCGTAAGGCCGTTGTTACTGGCGGGACGAGAGGCATCGGCCAGGCTATGGCCCTATCACTTGCAGAAGCAGGCGCAGATATCATCTTGGTTCAGGTAAGTCTCTTGTGTTGCTGTGACCTGCCAATCTAACTGAAACCATCAAGAGAGACGAAAGAAACACCGAGACAAAGGCCTTGATCGAGAAACTTGGCCGACAAGCTTTCGTATACACCGCAGACCTCAGCAATCAAGAACAAGTCGAGAATCTCAGCAAACGCATCCTCGCCGATGGTCACGACGTCAGCATCTTAATCACCTGCGCCGGCATCCAACGACGACACCCAGCACATCAATTCCCCATGAGCGACTGGGACGAAGTCCTCCAAGTCAACCTCCGCACAGTCTGGACCTTATGCCGCGACCTAGGCTCATACATGCTAACCCGCAAACCCGACGCAAGCGGCCATCGCGGCAGCATCATCAACGTCGCGTCACTCGTCAGCTTCCAAGGCGGCCTCACAGTACCCGCGTACGCAGCAGCAAAGGGCGGGATCGCACAGCTTACGAAGGCGTTGAGTAACGAGTGGGCGAGCCAGGGTGTTAATGTGAATGCTGTTGCGCCGGGATATGTTGCTACAGATATGAATGAGGCGCTGATTAATGATGAGAAGAGGGCTGAGAGTATTTTGTCGAGGATTCCTGCGGGGAGATGGGGATGTCCTGAGGATTTCAAGGGAGTTACGGTATTTTTGGCGGGGAGCGGAAGTTTGTATGTTTCTGGGGAGTTGGTTACTGTTGATGGTGGATGGATGGGGCGATAGCTTACAGAAGCAGAAATTTACTATATACTCTATGCCCATCAAGGAGTTAGTCAATCACTATATATCTACCGACATGTTCATACAGGTCTCTGTCCCATTCATCTTTGCGTAATGACACCAAGGCTCTGAGAAAAACATCCCCGGTTCATCGGCGTACTTTCATGCTTGAAGAGTCGGGGGCACTTTCTGTCACTGACTCGGGGTCAAGCAAGGTTTCTGGGTGTAATGGAGCTCATGCCAACGTGACCACCCAGCAATGGTGGAAAAACACGGTTTTCTCCGACGCACAGCATACAAAGGAACCCTGCATCGTGCGGCTCGTTACCCCAGATTTACGTAGTGCTTTAGTTCGTGGGGGTCACAGAACCTGTTTTACGCGTGGGGGTTCCCGGGTCAAATCTGACGATGTCGTGTTAGCCGAGAGGTTGTCGGCGGGGAAGCCGAGTCATGACGTTTAAAAGGATGGGAAAATTCGTGTCTGGCCAAGTCTCAGTCGCAAACAAGTATAGCAACGATGGCCAAGATCACTTCTGTCAAGTACTACCGTGTTAAGCCGCGATGGCTAATGGTCAAGGTCGTTGATGAGAATGGACAGTATGGATGGGGTGAGGCTACGTTAGAGGGCCATGACCTTGCTGTTGAGGGGTGTTTGGATGAGATGATCCCACGGATCATTGGACAAGAAGCAAAGTAAGCATTGTTGTCCTGGAGCGGCAAAAAGAACTGTATCTAACTGACGTGGTAGCGATATCGAAAACATCTGGCAAACCTTCTGGCGTCATGGGTTCTACCGCGGCGGACCAGTCTTCATGTCTGCCATCTCAGGCATTGACATCGCATTGTGGGATTTGAAAGGTGGCTATAGACACCACGCTATTGGGCAACCTCGAAGCTTACAGGGACAGGTCGCAACTTGAAGGTACCCATCTACGAGCTTCTCGGCGGCAAAGTGAGGAACAAAGTCCAGGTTTACTGCTGGATCGGCGGCGATAGACCATCAGATATAGAAGCAGCCGCGTAAGAAGCAATAACAGCTCCAGTCCCGATTCTAAGCTAACAAGACGTAGAAAGAAGCGCCTTGAGCAGGGCCTCACATGCGTCAAAATGAACGCTACCGAAGACCTGGGATGGATTGACTCCCCATCCGCCCTAGACAGCACCGTCGAACGTCTCAAACAGGTCAAGGCATTAGGTCTTGACGCAGGGCTTGACTTCCACGGAAGATGTCATAAAGCAATGGCGAAGCAGCTCGCTCGAGCTCTTGAACCTCATAGGCCTCTGTTCATCGAGGAGCCTATTCTGGTTGAACATCCTGAAGCTATCAAGAAGCTATCTGACCAGACTGTTATCCCAATTGCTTTCGGTGAGCGTTTATATACACGATGGGATATTAAGCGCTTTCTAGAAGATTCAAGTGTCGATATTCTACAACCTGACATCGCTCACGCAGGCGGTATTTCTGAGACGAAGCGTATAGCCACTATGGCTGAAGCTTATGATGTCGCGATTGCGCCTCATTGTCCGTTGGGACCTGTTGCATTCGCTGCTTCTGTTCAGGTGGCGCTGTCATCACCAAACTTTGCTATTTTGGAGATGAGCTTGGGGATGCATTATAATACCGAGGCTGGAGACATTGATCTACTGACGTATCTCAAGAATCCGAGTGTGTTTGATCTAGAAGGTGGTCATGTCAAGGCTCCGACGGGTTACGGCTTGGGGATTGAGATTGACGAAGAGATGGTGATCAGGATTGCCAAAGAGACAGAGCCATGGCAGTGTAAGACATTCCATGGTCCAGATGGCAGTATTAGAGAGTGGTAAAACAATAGAGTATACAGCAGTTTAATGCATCATTATGGTCCAAAGGTCTTGTGATCACTCCTTTCGGTTGCAACATGCCATCGCTATCCAAGTTCTCATGTCGTTCTCGCTCTACTCTGGCATCCCATCAAGGCAGAAGTCTGGGGTAAACAATCTCCGGGGAAATGCTCGGCAATTCAGGTCTGGGTGATGAACCCCCACGCTCTTGGCGATGGAGGCCCCGGAAATCCTGCGTGAGGGGTCAAACTTAAAACGGAAAAGCATTCGCGAACTTGATGACATTTCCTTGTATTTACATCTCTGGACCTGCTTTCTTGTATTACCCCGCGTTTAGGACGTACTGTGAAGATGAGTGACAAGCCGTTGGAAGTATTGGTCTATGGCCTTGGAGCGTATGTTCACTTTGACTGTGATCAGATCATGACTGACATTTCCGAGGATCGGTTCATTTTATGCCTTCATTTTGAGCCGTAGCGAACATGTTCACCTGACTGTCGTCGCCCGATCGAACTTCGAAGCCGTTTCTGCGAATGGCATCTCGATTGATAGCCAGAACCATGGAAAGCACCACGTGAAACCTCACAAGGGTATGCATCACATCAGAACGTCATGAAGTCATTCTGATCCTGGCCATAGTCTTTCGAACCGTCGCCGAAGCAGGTCAAAAATTTGACTTCATCATCTGCACAAACAAAGCCGTCGACCAACTCAGCACTGCTGGTGACATTGCCCCCGGCGTTGGTGACAACACTTCGATTGTCATCATCCAGAACGGCGTAGGCAACGAGGATGCGTTCCGTGAAAAGTTCCCGAGTGCAACCATCATCTCATGCGTGGTATGTGCATTCCTTTGACCTGTCATCTCGTTACTAATGACTGCAGACATGGGTTGGTGCAAGGCAGCCAGAGCCTGGTTTCATAAATCATACGACATCCGAGGATATGCAAGTTGGGTTGTACCCGAACAAAGCGGGCGACGCATCACGGGATACCCAGCACCTTGCTCAGTTCGAATCGCTTCTGTCGATTGGCAAGACCATCTTCCAAATCGTTCCCAACATCCAAGTGCAACGATGGGAGAAGGTAGTTTGGAACGCGGCGTGGAATTCACTAACGGCTCTTACACTGATGGACACGCATGCATGGCTCAGTTCTTCAGACCTGTCGACTCCCATGACGAGAAAGCTTATGAAGGAGGTTATCGACGTTGCTAATGCGCTTGGTGTTCCTTTGGAGTATGGGCTGATTGACCGGCTTCTGGACAAGATTTTGGCGATGCCGCCTATTGGAAGCAGTATGAGGACAGATTACGAGAATGGTAAACCGATGGAGGTTGAGGCCATTTTGGGGTATCCTGTCAGGAAGGGGAGAGAGCTTGGTATTGATGTTGCGACTATTGAGACGTTGTATACCATCCTGTTGGCTATCAACAAGCGGCTCATAAGCGTGCAGAGCAAATGAGGGTAGTGTTTTACTAGAGCATCAAGATAGTCCATATTATGACGAATGCTTCTCCCAATCTTGAAACTTTGTAGAGATAGTCCCCGTATAACACTGATGCAGCTTCCCCTCACATGCCTTAGTATCACCATATCACAACATCCTCAGCTCGCTGGCAAACCACGGCAATGCTTAAATCCGCATTGCAACCCCATTTCCCCTCAGATCGTGGGATGTTGTTTTAGTGCCGATTGATGACTCGAGGGAATTCCCCTTTGGGCTGTGCTCGCACCGTATCCATGTCGTCGGGCTCCATCTGGGAACCCCCACGCTCTTCTCCTCTCGGGCTTGACCCCGAACCGACAAGTTCGCGGGGTCGCGTGGTCCTTTCTGGTGGCGGAATGGCTGATGACCTCCATTTAATGGAATTATCCGCCGAGGTAGTCCTTTTGGTGACTTTCTTCTCTATTTCCCGTGCTTTCGTTACCACTTTGTTTGTCGTCAAAATGTCAGACTGCAGTGCTCGTCGATCGTCAAAAATGCCCCATCCAAATGATCTCCATCGCTCCACTCAATCAGCCTCAGCACCACCTGGAGATGCAGCGCAATTACCGCAGGGCCAATGTCGTTATATCCTCACAATACCAGAGCTTAAAGGCCATCGCTGCGGATGCATGGGCTTCCACCACAATACATCCCTCCCAGGCGCGACATGTTACTGTGGCCATTTCTCATGCTTCCATTCATCAACATCCCTAAAAACAAGCGAGGACATTACAGCGCTCAAGAAACGAGTACGAGAACTTGAAGCACAACTGCAGCAAAAGGGGAGCTACCAACTGGAAAATCTCGTCGGTCGCATTAGTGATTTGGAGGAGACGGTGGAGGGAAACCAAGAAGAGGCGGCAAACCAGCTAAAGGCTTCGTATCAAAACAGCTCGGCTGCTTGGCAAGTGATAGAAGCTTTGCAAGAGCGGATCAAAAGTTTGGAGAATTACTGTCAGTTGTATTGTGAGCAGATGATTGCGACTAGGAAAGAAGTCAAGGAACTGTATAATCGACAACTGGAGATGATGGATGGCGAGGAGAGTTTGGAAGAGAGGATAAAGACATTGGAAGATCCGGGGAACTTACTACCGTTGTTCCAGACGGGGCAGATCGGCTCTGTGACTATGGATACGAGGTAGACATTGACTATGAGGCAACGAGGTAGATAGCAGAGGTCTGTAGGTAGTCAGAGGGTAGGCGATAATAATACTAATTTTTACCATTATGCTAAGTCCTAAGATATGCCGAGGCGAACTTTCTCTCACTAACACGGGAGTCTGTTTATAGTCACTCTTGAACCAACTAAAATCGCCGGCTCGTTGGTCTCGCTTGGGTATCCCCGGAGAACAACAATTATTGGGTTGCTCCTGACTTCTGATCACATCGATTCAGATTCAGTCATTCTGTAATTACTTCTATAAGCTACTTAGTCCCTCCGAATCCCAGAGATACTAAGGTACTCCAAGAAATCATGTTCTTAACCAAGAACATTTATCATCTGCTGGGGCAGCTCCAATTCGAGCTTGTAACAATCCTGATTCTAACCAAGAATCTTTTTGCCATATTTACCTACCCCCCATTTGTCTGCAAAGGCGCAGTTGTCCAATGGTACAGCGCATTCTCCTGATGCTGAGTTGAGGGACTGAGTGGCGGAGTTAGACCTAAGTCATTAGCTGGTAAGTGTTGGAGATACGTATGTACCCCAGAATGACTGACATCTTGTTATGAGGTATGCTTTGGGTCTGAGAGGGAAGGAGCTTGATTTTGAGTTGTAGTGGCTAAATGGTCTTTAGTTTGTGGCTGAAGAAGTTCACATCGCGCGCAGCAACAAACAGCACACAAGGGCTGCTCTTATACTTGACAGCGAAGCCACGTCATGCAGGCGGCCGCTAAATATGCACTAAACTCGCATATAAATGTAACTCATCTTGTATCTAGTAATCAGTGTTCACGTGAGAAAGCATGCATGGATTAGTTCCTCTACACATGTGCACAAGGTCGTATTGACATACCATTGGGGAATGCAGTAACCTGAATTGGCAAGACTGAGGCCCTTCAAGTGTTACATAGAATGGCCAGTACCGGTGGGAGTGAATTTCGGTGTGCCAGACAAGATGGATGGGGATAGGTTTGATAGGACCACGTCTCCAGCGTAGGTTGCATCTCGCACTTCTGTTCCAGTCTAGCATTCCCTCAGCAATTTCTATCCTACATTATTGGCTACCTAAATCAGATCGAGCTACACAAAATTCGGGTCAGATGGCCAACTCATCAACCGATAATTGGCTGCGCAACATCAGCGCGTTGATGAGGCTCTCAAGGCTCAATTGTTGCAGAGTTTCTTTCCCTCCCCGCTTTCTTGGGGCGACTCGAGTTTGTTTCTCTTGTAAGCTTTTGACAATCCTTGAGTCAGTCAAGCAACCACAACAGGACTCTCGAGCCACCCTTGACGTTACATTGATACAGCAAATCTCATAGTAAAACTCCCAAGGACCCATAGCTCAATTATATACTAAGTTTCTTCAAGCCATTCTCAATGCCAATGAGGGCTACGACTCACTACTGATCGTCAACGTACATTGCAACGCATATCCGGATCAGTTCAGATCGTAATCTTGTTCCAGAGAGGTGGCAGCAAGCAGCAATGTGACAATTGCGGCACACATAAAGATGTAGCCAATTACCAGGGGGGGCGGTCAATGGGTGATCAACGGTATTCCATCCCTCAAACACCATACGAAAGCCGAACATGCCCTCTCGCGAGCCAGGCATCACCTTGGAACCACAATCACGAACGCCTCGGATGGTTCCCGTGCTAAAAAGGGACATCCGAGATTCATAGAACTTGAGAAGGATATGACTATTGGCGACATAATCAAAGTGCGGGAGGCCTTGCGACCGGGAGAAAACGACGGAATCGGATGACGATTGTTATCTACTAGACCGATGACATAACACAAGACCATTCTCATGAACCCAGGCTTCCTATACAAACTCCTTCTCCAACGCCACTAGTATACAATAGAGATCAGAGAATGATAGCCTGAGGATTCAAGTTCGCAAACATCTGATTCCACGTCATATCCTCCTCCGGCGCTCGCTTCCAAATATCCTCCAAAACCGCAATGACAGAATGGACTGAAGCAAACCGTATCTCGTCATAAATAAATCCCGCAAGACCTCGCACAAGACGCTGTTGCTTGGGACATTGTGAATGTGCTCCTGCTATGCAGATGGGCAGTACAGCACAGTTAAGGATTTTGGACGGTTTTTGAATGCTGAAGATGCAGTCGAGGCATGATTGTGTATGTTGTTGGACGAGAGCATGGTTTGCGGGTAGACCACACACAGCTCGGTATAGATAGATCAGTGCGGCGTGCTGGAAAATCCTAACAAGGCTGAATGCTTGTGCTGATTCGGTGTCGCATTCCGTTGACGGTGTATCAACCGGTGATGAACGAGGCGACGTCAAATCCTCAATCGCCAATGAAGCATACGTCGGTCTCAGAGCTGCTTCAAAGATTCGTATCCTCTCGATTGAGAACTCTTCAATCATACGTGTCGTGGCATCAAGATATAGCGCCATACTCGAAATTTGCTGAAAGACGGTCGATAGCGAGCAATAACCCTGTGTATCTCGTCCCCACCAGACAGGTCCTCTGTCAACAACCTCCCAAATAGCCGGTGGAAACGAAGGCGGTTTGCCCGTGAGCATAGCGCTTGTTAGATCTGTCGTCGCAAATTCCGATAGCATCATGTGGAGTGGATCTTGGCCTGTGCCAAGCACAGCGGTCATGCCGCCGAGTTGATTGATGATGGCCAAGACTCCATCTCTGTGACTTGACGTTGATGCAGATGATTGCGCACATTCGAGAAACCCATCATGAAAGTAGAGCAACAGCACCGCAAATAGCAATGTCTGCAGAGGCCCGTCTTCTTTCGAACAGCATCCATCTACCTCTTCTCTCAGCGCAGCCAAACACTCCATCCTCTTAACGTTCAAGATACTACGACTATTCCGTCCATCCTGCAACCACCGATGTGAATCAGCAAGAACACACGTCGCAAGCAACACAACGCGATGCTGCAGCGCAACAAAAGTCGGCGGCGCGCAAGGCTTCGAGGCAGTCGTCAACAAAGGCCAGAACCTCCCGTGAAAGTAATCCAACGAGCGTTTCTCATACACTGCTAGTGATGCAGCGAGTTGTTCATCGCGGGTAGTGACCTGGTAAATCGCCGGTACAGTGACAGCAGGTCGTGTACTCCAGCGAATGAGGCGTTCGTTATAATCGCATGCAGCGCCTACTTTGGCGCAGCGCGAACAAGTTGGTTTTGCGAGATCGCATTTGATTCTGCGTTTCTTGCAGGGCCAGCATGAGCCCTCTACTACACGAACGCGAGTCTTTGGCATTGCCGATGATTGTGTCTGTGACTTGATGGTTACAGGTCAAAGTTGGGGATTTACTGGTCGTTGGTATTAGCATTGTTGAGATATGCCAGGGCCTGGAACAAGTCACAGGCCCAGCGATCTGGAGGCAGATAAGGGAGAGATTGCGCGGGGAACAAGGTGAATGTCCGGCCAAGCCTCCGCAATTCAAGCCCCGCTTCAGAATGGGCAATCTAATTGCTTGTTTGAGACTAGGCTCTGATACCGTTGCGAGTCATGGTTGGTTGACTGAGCGGGGTTTCGCGTTTAATTGACTGAAGGATTGGTTCGGCTTTAGAGCGGACGAGTCATGATAAGGCCTAGGGTAATTGAGATCAATATCAATTCAGACGAATGGATGTTGGTAACAGTTCAAGGGATTGCAGAATGGTGAAAGATATGGAATAACCTACGTCAAAAATTTGATAGCTACTTCTATCCTTTTGCCGTAATTACGTTGACTATGGCTCTTCCCCTTTGGAACTTAAGATATGAATAGCGAAAAACATGGCGATTGAGTCAGTGACATCACCCATCCCGTATCGAA